GATATTATGCTAAGCAAAATTAGTCAGTCTAAGAAAGACAAATATCATATAACTTCACTCATATGAGGGATTCAAGATACAAAGCAGATGAACATAAGGCGAAGGAAGCAAAAATAATATAAAAACAGGGAGGGGGACAAAACGTAAGAGACTATCATTTATGGAGAAGAAACAGGGTTGTTGGAGGGGTTGTGGGTGGGGGAATGGGCTAAATGTGTAAGGAGCATTAAGGAAGACATTTGTTGGGATGAGCACTGGGTGTTATATATAGGGGATGAATCACTGGAATCTATTCCTGAAATCATTGTTGCACTCTATGCTAACTAACTTGGATGTAAATTTAAAAATGAAAGAAAGAAGAAAGAAAAAGAAAGAAAGAAAGAAAGAAAGAAAGAAAGAAGAAAAGAAAAATCTGGTAGGATTCTCCTGGGAAGCCATCTAGCCCAGGACTCTCATTTGTTGGGAGATTTTTGATAACCAATTCAATTTCTTTGCTGGTTATGGGTTTGTTCAAATTTTCTATTTCTTCCCATTTGAGTTTTGGTAGTGCGTGGGTGTCTAGGAATTTGTCTATTTCTTCTATATTGTCCAGTTTGTTGGCATATAGTTTTTCATAGTATTCTCTAATATTTGTATTTCTGTGGTGTTGGTTGCAATCCCTCCTCTTTCATTCGTGATTTTATCTATTTGAGTACTCTTTCTTTTCTTTTTGATAAATCTGGCTAGGGGGTTATCAATTTTCTTTACTCTCAAAAAACTAGCTCTTAGATTCATTGATCTGTTCTACAATTTTTTTTAATTCCATATACTTTATTTCTGCTCTAATCTTCTTCTGCTGGCTTTGGGCTTTATTTTCTGCTGCTTTTCTAGCTCCTTTAGGTGTAAGATTGTGTATTGGGACCTTTCTTGCTTCTTGAGATAGTTCTGAATTGCAATATATTTTCCTCTTAGGACTGCCTTTGCTGTATCCCAAAAGGTTTGGACTGTCGTGTTCAATTTTCATTTACTTCCATGTATTTTTTAATTCCTTCTTTAATTTCCTAGTTCTTTAGTAGGATGTTCTTTAACCTCCATGTATTTGGGGGTTTCCAATTTTTTTGTGTGTGGTTGATTTCAAGTTTCATAGCATTGTGATCTGAAAATATATATGGTATGATCTCAATCTTTTTGTACTTGTTGAGGACTGTTTTTTGACCCAATATGTTTTCTATTTTGGGGAATTTTCCATGTGCACTGCAGCCGAATGTGTATTCTGCTGCTTTAGGATGAAAAGTTCTAAAAATATGTCTTAAGTCCACATGGTCCAATATGTCATTCAGAGCCATTGTTTCCTTTTTGATTTTCTGCCTAGATGATCAGTTCTTTGCTGCAAGTGGAGTATGAAAGTCACCTACAATTTCAGTAATATTACCAATACATTGGTTTATGTTTGTGATTAAGTGATTTATATGTTTGGGTGTTTCATGTTGGGGCATGAACATTTACAATTGTTAGATCTTCTTGATGGATAGCTCCCTTCATTATGATAAACTGCCTTTTTTTTTATCTCTTGTTACAGTCTTTGTTTTATTTTTTATTGTTTTTTTTTAAGTTTATTTATTTTGAGAGAGAACATGAGTGGTGGAGGGGAAGAGAGAATCTCAAGCAGGCTCCACACCATCAGCAGCATGAGCCCGATGCAGGGCTTGAACCTACAAACTGCAAGACCATGACCTGAACTGAAATCAAGAGTCAGATGCTTCACCAGCTGAGCCACCCAGGCACTGCTACACTCTTTGTTTTAAAATCTAGTTTGTGGCCTCTGCCGCGGGTCGCAGCAGCTCGGGCGGTGGGAGGAGCGGTAGCTGCCAGGCAGCCCAGCTTTGTGAAGGCTCTTGGCACGTGGCGGCCCGCAGGCACCTGGCACCCGGCATGTGCCCGCCCCGTCGCCACGATGCCCAAGAGGAAGATCAGCTCCGCCAAGGGGGTGGCGAAGGAGAACCCCAAGAGGAGGTCGGCGAGGTTGTCAGCTAAACCTGCTCCTGCAAAAGTGGAAGTGAAACCAAAAAAGGCGGTGGGAAAGGAGAAATCTTCAGACAAAAAAGTGCAAAGGGGAAAAGGGGAGCAAAGGGAAAACAGGCTGAAGTGGCTAACCAAGAAACAAAAGAAAACTTACCTGCAGAAAACGGAGAAACTAAAAACGAGGAGAGTCCAGCCTCTGATGAAGCAGGAGAGAAAGAAGCCAAGTCTGATTAGTATCATATCCCATGTCTTACCAGTGGTCCCTGTCTCCCTTCTTGTACAATCCAGAGGAATATTTTTATCAACTATTTTGTAAATGCAAGTTTTTTAGTAGCTCTAGAAACATTTTTAAGAAGGAGGCAATCCCACCTCATCCCATTTTTTAAGTGTAAATGCCTTTTTTAAAGAGGTGAAATCATTTGCTGGTTGTTTATTTTTTGGTACAACCAGAAAATGGGATATTGAATATGGGAGGCTTTGATCATCTTGGGTGTCAGCTTAACATTCCATAGATGGGGTAGTTTTTATATCGTATAATACCAAGCATACTAAACGGCAATTTGGAGTCAGTCGTGCATTTAATATGTCTTGAACATTTTAAATTACTTCTATTCCCCATGTTGTTTTTGGTAGAATTGTTTCCTAAAGAAAACCACTCCTTGATCTTGGCTCTCCCTGTCAGAATTTTGTGCATTCTGTAACATCTTGGTCGTGGTAGTCCAGTTTCCTAGTAACTTTGTTAATGTGCTGTGCGAGATTGAAAATTTGAGTATGTAGTGTATATGACATTAAATTGTGAATTAATGGGACTCAACAGTGTAACAGCGTATCAACATTTGAAGATACGGGTACTTGATATACTGTAAGGGAAATTTGTCTCCAAATTTTAAGCTGGAAGGTCACTGGAATAACTTTGAGAAAAGAACCACAGCTACATGGTTTTTTTTTTTAGGTTTTCGGTACGTACGTTAAGAATTATGTACAAATTTAATTGCCTGTACTGATCCTCAGAACAACAAATAAAAACTCAATTATGAAAGAAAAAAATAAAGTAAAATAAAATCTAGCTTGTATGATATAAGTGTGGCAACTCTGTCTTTCTTTTTCATGTTCCATTAGCATGATAGATGGTTCTCCATCCCCTCACTTTCAATCTGCAGGTGTCCTCAGGTCTAAAATGAGTTTCTTTTAGACAGCATATAGATAGATCTTATTTTTTATCCATTCTGATAACCTATGTCTTTAATTGGGGCAGTTAGTCCATTTACATTCAGAGTGATTGTTGAAAGATATGGATTTAGTGCCATTGTGTTATCTGTAGGTTTTGTGTTTGTGGCGATGTCTCCAGTCCCTTGTAGTCTTTGCTGCTTTCCATCACAGAGTCCCCCTTAGGATCTCTTGCAGGGCTGATTTAGTGGTCTTGAAGTCCTTTAGTTAGTTAATTAGTTAGTTTGTTTGTTTAGTCTGGGAAAACCTTAATCTCTCCTTCTAATAACAGCCTTGCTGGATAAAGGATTCTTGACTGCATATTCTTCCTATTCAGCACACTGAATATGTCCTGCCACTCCTTCAAGTTTCAGTGGACAGGTCTGCTACTACCCTTATGTGTCTACACTTGTAGGTTAAGTACCATTTGTCCCTAGCTGCTTCCAGAATTCTCTATTTTTATATTTTGCTAGTTTCACTCTGATATGTCATGGTGTTGACCTGTTTTTGTTGATTTTGAAGGGCTTTCTCTGTACCTCTTGGACTTGGAAGACTGTTTCCTCCCCAGATTAAGGAAGTTCTAAGCTATAAGTTGTTCAAATAAACCTTCTGCCCCTTTATCTCACTCCTCTTTTTCTTGAACTCCTATGCTATGGATAGTGTTTCATTTCATGGACTCACTTAGCTCCCCATTTTTCCCCTCATGATCTAGTAATTTCTTTTCCCTCTTTTCTTTCAGCTTCATCATTTTCCATAATTTTATCTCTATTTAGCCTATTCTATCCTCTCCTTCTTCTTCCATTCTTGCTGCCACTGTATCTAGTTAATTTTGCATCTCATTTATAGCATTTCTATGGCATAATACACTCCAGTTCCATCCACATTGTTGCAAATGGCTAGATTTCATTCTTTTTGATTGCTAATATCCCATTGTATATTTATACAACATCTTCTTTATCCATTCATCAGTCGATAGACATTTGGGCTCTTTCCATACATTGGCTATTGTTGATAGTGCTGCTATAAACATGTGCCCCTTTGAATCAACACTTTCATATCCTTTGGATAAATTCCTAGTAGTGCAATTGCTGGGTGATAGGGTAGTTCTATTTTTAACTTTTTTAGGAACCTTCATACTGTTCTCCAGAGTGGCTCACCAGTTTGCATTCCCACCAGCAGTGCAAAAGGTTTCCCTTTCTCTGCATCCTTGCCAACGTCTGTTGTCTCCCAAATTGTTAGTTATAGCCATTCTGACAGGTGTCAGGTGGTATCTCACAGTGGTTTTGATTTGTATTTCTCTGATGATGAGTGATGTTGAGCATCTTTTCATGTGTCTGTTAGCCATCTGAATTTCTTCTTTGGAAAAGCATCTGTTCATGTCTTTTGCCCATTTCTTCACTAGATTAGTTGGTTTTGAGTGTTGAGTTTGATAAATTCTTTATAGACTTTGGATACTAACTCTTTATCTGACATATTATTTGCAAATATCTTCTCCCATTCTGATGGTTGCCTTTTCATTTTGGTGATTGTTTCCTTCACTGTGCAGAGGTTTTATATCTTGATAAGGTCCCAGTCGTTCATTTTGCTTTTGTTTCCCTTACCTCCAGAAACATGTCAAGTAAGAAATCACTGCCACTGAGGCCAAAGAAGTTGTTGCCTGTTTTCTCCTCTAGGATTTTGATTTCCTGTCTTACATTTAAGTCTTTCATCATTTTGAGTTTATTTTTGCATATGGTGTAAGCAAGTGGTCTAGATTCATTCTTCAGCATGTCACTGTCTAGTTTTCCCAGAACCATTTGCTGAAGGACTATCCTTTTTCCATTTGGTAGTCTTTTCCTGCTTTGTCAGAGGTTAGTTGGCCATCCATTTGGGGATCCATTTCTAGGTTCTCTTTCTGTTCCATTGATCTATGTGTCTGTTTTTGTGCCAGTGCCGTACTGTTGATGATTACAGCTTTGTAATACAGCTTAAAGTCTGGAATTGTGATGCCTCCAGCTTTGGTTTTCTTTTTCAACATTACTTTGTCTATTCAGGGTCTTTTTTGGTTCAATACAAATTTTAGAATTGTTTGTTCTAGCTCTGTGAATAATTCTGGTGTCATTTTGATAGGGGTTGCATTGAATGTATAGATTACTTTGGGTAGTATCGATATTTTAACAAAATTTTTCTTCCAATCCATAAGCATAGAATGTTTTTCCATTTCTTTTTGTCTTCTTCAATTTCTTTCATAAGCTTTCTATAGTTTTCAGTGTACAGGAAGAATACTTCACTTCTGATCCCAAATCAGTCACTTTGGGTATGACATTAGGCACAGCTAATGGTTGACCCAGTGTACACTGTCTACATTAACAAATAATTTCCTGAAGTAGAGACATTATTGTTTGACACATTCCTTATTATTAACACATTGTGGCACTCCAGTATGCTTGCAATATTAAGCTAAGGTCAGTAGAATATTCAGTAAAGTTTGAAATTCTTGCAACTTGACACTGCAGCAATTTCCTGAGGGGCTCTGAGCTGTAGTTTTTAAAATCAAAATGAATTCATCTGCCATTTTTCTTCCAAAACTGCTTGTTAATATCCTGAATGCTATTCAAGCCACTTTGTTTTTATGACTATTTCCCTTTGTTTTTAGTTACTGCTTTTTCAGTAGGATTCTGTGAAATGGTGAGAGTGGGGAGGTGAATCAACCTACTTAACCAATATGAATAGAAATCTTGAATAGAACTCCCAGTATTGATTAAAGTTATAATCTTGTTTTTTTCTTTTTTTCCAGAAACCAATACTACAATGTATGCTAAGTTGAAATTAAATAAATTAAAGATGAAAAAAAAAAAAGAAACAAAAGGAAATAAAGAAATTATAATCTTAAAAGAAAGAAGGAAAAGTATTTGGGTGAGGGCAAGAAAGTCCATCTTGCTGTGCACATAAAATCAAAGGACCTGTGCAGTTGCCCTAGTTCTAACACAATATTTTGGTTATTTTATTTATTTTATAATATTAAATATAACAAATTCTATTAAATTTGAGAGTAGTATCTCTTTCACTGTGACATCCAGCATATATGTTGATACTGTTTTTCCAGGTGAGTTATTAGCAACATGTAGGCAGAACAGATTCTGAGTATTTTTCATAATGTTGGTTATATACATAGTTAATAAATGCTTATTATAAACATTCACAAATAAATAAATGAATAAATGTTCTCTAATCTACCTTATGCCTAAATTATAATCACATAAAAGAGAGATTTTAACACTTTCAAGCAATGCAATGAGAACAATCTGTTAAAGTAAAATTTAAAAAAATAATCAAAAGTAAATGAAGTAAAGAAATTTCTAAATCTTTAAATCCAAGCCCTTTATTTTATGAGTCAGATATGAATATCCTTACAGCTTTAGAAAAATTTAATTGAAAGTGTTAGCTGTTTATAAAATAATAAGGTAAAAGAACTCTGATTTCAAAATACTAGTTCTATTGTGCTACAAATTCAAAGTGCCAAAGAAGTAGAACAAAAGAAGGTAATCCCCTAAATTTTTTTTTAAATTATGGACTGTGAGAGCTATATAAATTGCAAATTGAGGATTCTAAACATTAGGAGAATAAAAGAGTAACAATCAATTTTTCTATTTAAAATTTATTATGATAAAATGTTATCAGTATTTGTAATAGTGTTGTGGTGAATAATTCTGCATGTAAATTTTTTCTCTTTGAAATATATATCTTTTCTGTATAAAAATATATAAGAAGAAAATTTATAAAAGTGCCTGAGTATACTAATAATTGTTACTTTATACTATAAATCTGTATTTTAACATTCTCACATTTCTTTAATGCTGAATAAAAACCAGTTTCAATCGTCTAAACATTATGACTTCTCAAAAATCCCATCAGGATTGAACAGTAAATTTGAAAGCCAAATAGCCATGTTAGCCAGGTTTATATGTCCTTTGTTTAGATGAATTTCCTCTATAATCTGCAACTTCTCTGTTAGCATCTCTAATTCTCCTCCACCACTCAAGTTCCTAATTATCATGAAGCTTCATGGAAATAAAAAGAAGTTTAGTTTTAGTAAAATATTGATTAGATCATTTATCTATCATCTATGAGGTTATAATACATAATTCCATAGGATTTGCCTGTATAATGAGGAAGAAATTGAATGGATATTCTTGTTGACCAAATAATGTATATGTCAATCTATTATTAAAACAACTTTTTATTTTAAATCTTTTTTTCAC